ATTTTAAAAGAGGTAAGCTATCTAGGAAACCAAAAACCAAAAATCACAAATAAGAAACCCTGCAGTAAGTCTTTGGAAGAAAATGTCTTGTAATGTATGTAAAAGCTTGAATATTTATATCTTACCTCCTTAAACCGCTCAAAGTCAACAAATATTTCTTAAGAAATGGCACTCAGACTTTTATTCTTATTGAGGTTTATCCTGACTGGAATGGTATTTAGCTGCAGTCCAACAAGTAAAATCACAGAATGGTTTGGGTTCAAAAGGACCTTAAAGATCATGTAGTTCCAAACCCCTGCCATGGGCAGGGACACCTTCCACTAGACCAGGTTGCTCAGAGCCCCATCCAACCTGCCTCTGAAGACTTCCAGGGATGGGACAGCCACAGCTTCTCTGGGCAACCTGGTCCAGTTTTGATACAACAAAAATACTCATATTGAAGAGATCATGTAATAACCTGGTATTTTTGGGTTCAAGTTACACCAAGCCTCATGGTAAAAAACCCCATCTTCATTCATATAATTGATTCAAATTTTATCCTGCTTGGAAAAAAAAATGTCTTTTTTTGGTTAACTATGTTAACCTAAAAAATCAACAGATAACATATTTTCCTAGTATTTTCTGGAATGCTCAAATTACAGAACTAACACAACTGTGTAAATAAATATAGCCATCTACTGAGCTGCAGCACAGAGTGAAATTTGGGCTATATATGTACACACACATATGGCATATTTATACTGACAGTGTGAACCCACAGATACGTTGTCTTAATTCAGTGACATCACATTTATATAAGGTACTTTGGATTACTCACATCGCCCACCCACAAGTCAGTGATATGGAAAAGCATACACACTGCTGAAAAATGCAACACTAAATCACTAATAGTGATTTACACACAATAATAAAAGAAAATTATTTAGTAAATATTTTAGCCTATCACATTACTTGTTTTGATTTTTTTGTTTTGTTTGTTTGTTTGTTTTTGTTTTGTTTTGTTTTGTTTTTTAATAAAATGCTGTAAAAAGACCAATTCTAAATATCCTCATTTTTAAGAAATGTATCAAGATTGTGTGGGAGGCAGTGTTGTTTTCTCTGCTGCAAACAGAGAGGATCTTCTCCACAAATGGCCCTATATGTGCAGGTGGTTCTTTGGCTGATGACCTGAAGCTATGACAAAGACAAATGCCTATTTTTGTATTCCATTATTTTCTTGTTCAGTGGTTTATTCACATCTCATATGACTGTGCAGGGAGAAGTCACAGTTCCTCCTTCTACTGCCTCTAAGAAGGAAATGCCATATGGATTTTTAACAACTTGTTTCTCTTACACAGCCTTTAAGCTTACAAACTTTGGAGGTATGCCAGACTACTTTGAGAATTTAAACTTGAGAAATAATAGTTGTTTTAAGGAATTTAAGCCAGGCACTATTATTAACATAAATCATAATTTTATTTTGATAATTATTACTAAGTTTCCTAAGAGGCACTTCTGTGGATAGAGCATTAAAAGATGCAAGGGTATCTTACATTTTTGATGGTTACTCCATCGTACTGTTATACTGGCAAAAGAGGTAAGATGAAATGAAAACTTCCAGTTAATTCAGGGTAGATTTCTGTATGGAACAGCTCCAATTGCACAAGCAATTAGGGGTTTAAAGCTCTATTACATGAGATACTATTGGCAACTGACATGTTTTTCTCCTATAAAACCATCTGCAGCTACATGTATCTAATATCTAAGTTTCTCAAGGCCTTTATGATTTTAACTTCACACATCTTTACAATAAATATTTTATTTCCAAACAGGTAAAGAGCTGTATGAACTGAATGACTGTCAGTGGCAAAACCACAGGTCCAAAATCCTACCCTCTCTTCTGCAACTATTTCAAGGATCACATCCCACGTGTCTGTGCCACATCCTGTAAACTTTCCAGAAGTAAATGTTGCAAAATGCTTATTTGTAAAGGCTGCTGTGTAGCAATAGGTGCATTGTCAGATGACACTACATGGCCCTGTGAGAATGTTCCAAAGGTTAAAAAAGCCTGCAGAGACCATTTTAAATTTGCAAATAACTTCACCACAGAAGTAGTGGGAAATATTTCAAATTCAATCACTGATCGGCTCCTTGATTTTTTTATTAATTTTCATACTTGTCAACAAATCTGTCTGAGGCTCTGGAACTTAATCCTATGCAGCTGAAGAGGGACATGCCACTTAAGGTCTCTTTGGGAGAGACAAATCCATACTAGCTCTCTCAGTGTCAAATTTTCACTCCATACAATGCAAAACAACAGGTAATGAAAAACAGATAAACCACCATTATTAATAGGTAGTTTAGATAATTGCATAGCAGATGTTGTACATATAGCAACTGAGATATGCTGAAACAATTAATGTCCTTAAACCCAGTTTGGACTTTTATAAGTCAGTATTATTTGAAAAATCCAAAGGTAAAAACCAACACCAACAGTATAACATAAATGTTAGTTTTTAAGTGATGCTGTCCAGTCTGTTTTCAATTCCTTATCCCTCTCTAAATTGTGGATTACAGTCACATTCATAACCATTTCCTGCCTGGCTTAAAGTGTAGCTTGGTGCAATTCACCATCTGTAGCTCGGCTGAGACTCATGAAATGTTTCATGGTTGTGCTTCCAGTACTTGTACCATTTTTGCATCCTGCCACCTATTCCTGCTCAAAGCACTTGCCTGTCAGGGTAATCAAGAGGTTTTCATGGAATCACTGGCATGTCATCTCTGCTAATGATTTACTGGCAATATCCTTCTTATTATTCACGTGGGAGATATCCTGGCTTTTATTCACCTAGAACAAAGCATTAAAGTGTTCCTTTCTCTCTTTTATCGTTTTTTCCCTCTTATTTTAATTCACAAATTAAAGCTCAGATGTTTGCTGCACTCCCTTCAAATGTAATAAAAAATGTCCCATCATCTAAAGCACATCAAAACCCTAAGCAATGTAGCTCCTAGAAACCAACAGATTTCAGGATGCATACCATTAGCAGTGTAGATAAATGGGCTGTATTTCTGAATCCTTCTGTTGTTTGAAATAAAGACATCCATCAAAATGTAAGCTAGAGGCAAACTGATGGAATAAAAAGTCCCTATGGCAGTTGGAAATCTTCAGGGATTAGATTTCTTAGCCTACTGAAACCCTTAGGACCAGCAGAAGGACCACAACTGGTACACTTGTTCGGTGAACAATTGCAAAGATTACTAAAAACTTGACAAGTGGAGTAAAGAAAAACAAAGCATCAATGAAGTCTAACCAAAGTATTTTTCTCAGTTAGCCCTTTATTAAAGAATCAAAACCCAAGTTAATTTTAAAAATGTAAAGAATTTAACCTACGTTAAAACTTGAAAAGAGAATAGTACTGCAAATATAGAAGGATAACCTTCCAAGACATAAGAAAGGACATGGGTTAAAAAAAAAATAAAATCCAGGAATTGATATCAGGTGAGTAAATAGCAAAGATACAGGTAAGAGTGGAAAGTAACTGAAAAGATTTGCATCTGTTTTCAACACTGTAGAAGAAACCTTTGGAGTTTGCACCCTTGTAGAACACGAAGTCTCAGAAATAAATCTAGGAGGCCTTTGACCAAACCCACTGTGAAATACATTCAAATTAAAAAAGTTAAAACGTACCCAAGTACTACTCATCGTATTAGGCAAACATCTAAAATGCAAAATTTGGCTCTGCAAGTCGGACAAGGCACTTGGCTCGACAGCCAGGTCTCTGGGTGCTGCTGATCCTGTCGGCTGGCAAACCACTTGCCCATGCAGGTGAGGCACCACATGGGGCGGCAGTAGCACTGCTGGCACTCCCCTTCGTTTGGCTCCTGGCAGTTCTTGATGAGCTTGATGTTAGCAATAGTCTGCATACACCCTATGCATGGCTCCAGCTCCTAAGGGAGAAAAATGCCCAGATTGTGAACTGCACAGAATGGTTTCTGTGATTGCTCTTCAAAGGCTTTTAGAAAATTATCTGTGGCAGAATAATCAAGGCAGAACTGCCCCACCAGAAGATGTCAAACAGTTTTATTACAACACTTTCTAATGAATGAGAGCAAAGTTTCTCTTTAAACAGAAAACCCAGAACTGCTGCCTGAGACCAGTGATTAAACAAAAACGACTGAAAATAAACATTCTTTCTGTCTCCAAAGAGCTCCACCTATTTCCAGAGCACAGTAGCCACAGCAAGGTAAGCACACAGCCAGCTTTATCATTCACACAAGATATTTTTCAAAAAACATACCAATATAAAGTAAGAAAAACAATAAAGCAAACAGTTCTTACCACTTGCTACAGCAAATGGCTGTTCTTATCTTCCATCTTTATAGGTAAGAGATATAAAAGGGGAAAACGGGGCTGTACTGAACACAAGGACACTCATCTTGAAGGACCAGAAACTTACTTAAATTTTCTTGGATAGTACTGTAATAATTAATATTTCCCCACAGTTAATTATGCCACATGAACGTGAGGTTGCATATAGGGACATCATCTTGCTGTGAAGTGTTTTACAATTAATAAACAATAATTAGCGTTTCCCCTGTGTCTTCCAGCTGTCCAAGAACTTGAAAAAGTTCAAATGACAGGCACAGAGACCTGAATCCTGTTCATACTGCTACTGGTGTAGCAAAAAGCAGCTCTGCTCTGTGGTCTCTAGTTCCCAACTCCAGTGTCTCTTCCCTGTCAGCTCAAGTGCCTGCTCAGCCACACTGGCAGCTTGGCTGTGGAGCAGATCCAGATGAACACAAACCAATTTGCTTTGCCTCTTTCCGCCCTGGCTTCACACAACCAGGTTCACCACAGACAAAGTCTTGTGTCAACATGGGGACCAGGAGTGTGCAGGAAATAAGACTGCTTCTTTCAGAAGCTGCATCAGCTTTAACTTGTGAAATTAAGGCTTATCTTAGTTTTTAGGTAGGAAGACTTCTAGCACAGAAAGATTAACTAACTTTTTCAACTTACTCATGGAGATTCAGAATAGGAAAAAATTCAGTGTTGTATTTTTTATGTCCTTATCATAATTTGTGATGACATTTATCACTCAATGTCAAACCAAAGACCAGTAGCTCAGCTGACACTTAAATGTGTCACAAATTAATTTATTTTAATTAAAATGAAAAATTATCAGGTTCTATCTTGTCTTTATTTTGAACATCTCATTTCACTATAAGCTGGCACTGCAACCAGAACATACAACATCATCATATGCAGGCAAATCTGATTCAGTTTTATTTTAGTTAGTTCAAGGAACCATAGAGTGAACACACCATGACACTACCACAGATACCAACTACTCCCTGCATTAGCTGAAACATCAGACACAGACTCCCTGCAGGGTCACCAGAACTGGTTTAATTAGTTTCCTCTGGTACATTGGACAGTGGTATAGTCACACTCCTGATTGCTGCACAAGTGTAATAATGACCAGGTCTCTATGAGTATAGCTGCAGGTAGGACTCTATGGTGTTATTTACAATCAAAGCAAGCCCAAATTAAGATTCATTACTTTATTTCAGCAGAAGATCCAGCAAAACCTGGCTGTCTAGAAAAGCAAGCTGTAATGGAGTAAACTGCCCAAAGAACACCAACAGCAGCTGTGACTCCCCATAAACTTTCTGGAAGCGCAACATCATAATTTCCAAATGTTTTCACGTTATATTTTTATGGGAATTATTACAGGGGACTTTATTTCACTGTGTTATTTCTCATGTCTCAAAACTGCTCACAATACAGTTCATCTCCTCATAGAAGGAATGGAAGCAGCAGCCTGAACTACATTTATGATGTGTTTACTGAGAGGGCAGGTGAGCCCTTGTGAGGGATGCACCCACCCCGACTGAGCAAACAGCACTTTGGCTCTGGCATCACCCACAAGGAGGCCTGACTGGAGTCAGTGTGCCTGTGCAGACTGGAAGGAACTGTGCTAGGCTGTATCTTCTCAGGAAGTTAAGGAATCTAGGCCATGTCTTATCAGGAGGTAACTAGATGACACTGTAAGTCCTACAGCTGCACACCCACACCAAGGGGCAGTTTGACCACCAGTAACTCAGTCTAAGCAAGTTACTGCAGCCCCCCAAGCCCACTGAACTCTCCTGTAGGGCACAGCAGGCTGTCTCAGGCAGGCAGGACATCTCTCAAGGTTACCTCTCAAGGCTGAGAAACCCCTTACCCTCTAACTATTATCCATAGCAAGGTAAGCGACTGTTTTTATTAGATCTAAAACATATTGTATACAATTATTAGAAGTAGCCAGTACCAGAGTGACTGCTGTTAAATACCATTTAATTACTGATTGATTACTGTTTAATTACCACGTGATTACTGCTTAATAACCCTCAATTAATAATTATAATTTAATCATCATTCAGAGTTTAATTCATATTTTTAATAAAACCATTTTGTTAACCTCACAACAATGAATTCTCTTAATAATTCACCTGAGACAGCCCTAAGCAAACATTTACCAATTACACAGTAATCACAGGCTCACATACATTGAAAGTAAAATTATTACAGTGTCACATGGATAGAAAGTCTCACCTGAGTGCTTGGAACGTGATATGGCTGGTTAATTTCCACCAGAGATGTAAAGGTTTCTAAAAATAAATCACTAAGGCTTTGATGGATCACAACATTAGCTGCATTGCTGATAGGAGCACGGAGCTTTTCTCGGAGCTCCCCATACTCTGTGGAGTTCAACCTGAAAAAGAAAAGATGGAACAAAACATTACCATGATTATCTGCTTCAATACCTCGACAGTACATTGCAGAGGTTGACATCAGAGAAGTGAATCCACAGAAAAGCTATTTAGGCTGGTTCATGAGTCAGAATAAATAAACAGTGAGCATTTTATTTTCTTTTGCTCTTTAATGATTGGTTTTGACACAACTTAGCCAACAGAACACACTGTCCTACTTCATAGGAGCGAGCAGGATATGCTGGAGATCAGCTAAAACAGCACACAAAATAAAGGAAGGTTTTTGAAGTGATCAGCATGAACAAAAGCAATACAGGTATGTAAATCATGCATTAACTGTAAAGTACTGCATACACAATTTTTGCCCATCTTTTTAATGCCTATTTACTTAGATCATATATAAATTCTTGTTCATAAATTCCTGAGGACAGAAATCAGTTATATCCTGTAGCACGTATCACAAGGTGATATAGTACACGTAAGTAGCAGAAAAATGTCAATTTATCAGGTTCTGTGATTTTATGATCCAATTTTAGACAAACCCAGAAATTTCACAGAGGTTACAAACCGCTGCTGATTTAAGGCCGTAACAAGATGCATTTCACACCAGCTGCTCCTGCTGAAGTAAATGTAAATGATGCCCACAGACCTCAAGTGGCACTTGAGGCCTCTCACAGATCCTGCAGTGACACATCCCTGTTGTTACCCCTTTTTACTGTAACAGTTCAGAACTGTAGCAGCAGAACTCCCCAGCTCAGTGCTTCCACTCATTAAACAGCTTTCATGGAGCAGTCCCTGGAACTGTTGCCCTCGTTCTTCCTACCACTGAATTCCCAGAGCACAGCACAATGCAATGCTGGCTCAGCTTTAGCTCCCAGTGGTCTCCATTGTTTTAACTACTAAAGGATATTTGACAGATTATTTATCTGTTTGTTAACAGACACTACCCATGCAAATAACAGAGACCTTTCTATCCAGAGGAAAAGTGGCCCACTTGCACAAAAACATTTTTCTTCCAGAAACATCACACTGTATCTGAATCTGGATATATACTATGATACTATATGATTTTGCTGCATTCTAGTGGGGATTTAGTATTTCTGACATCTTATTAGAGGAGCTTTTAAACACTGTTCTTGATGCTGTGCTGTTTAGCCACAAAATAAAGGGGGGGAGTTGGATTTTTTTTCCCCCTAAAAAGAATTCTCAAAGTCATGATTGCCCAGCTGGGGATGTAGTTTTATCACTCTGGCACTGACGCACTTACAGAAGAAAATCATTAATTGTTTAATACTCATTTGGTTACCACTCTCACAGGTCTACACAAGTCTCTTAGGACTGTCACTCTTACCTTAACTAATCTCTTGTTCTGAGCTCTGTTCACCTGGATCTCTAACACAATCACCTCTATGCCTTCCTCATGCTTGCTCTACAGCACACCTACAAGTCTGGTGATCTGTCTGCTTTTAATTACCTAGTAATTACCTAGTAAATAAATGCTGCTGACACGCACATTTACAGCAAAAAGTCACTCACATGCCTTTTCAAATATATAGTTTTAAGAGCCCTAACATGGCTTTCAGTACTCCTCTCAATAACACAACAAAACCAAAGACCTTGGTACCTTTCTACTCAGTGTTAGATGTTTCTGCAGAACTTGTCCTTTTGCCCAGCTACACGGACAGACTGCTGAAAACACCCAGCACGGGCCCTTGCAAAACAAGCCCTAACAGTTCATGTGTGCTAAGATTTACTGCTGTGAGAACACATAAATCAGAAACAGACCAAAACTACTTCCTTGCTTTACAGTAGCTCAGTGAGAACTCTTCTGAGCAGTGACAGAATTACGAGTCTTAAGCAGAAGGAAAAAAATGAAGTCATGGGTGAACAACAGCCAGTTTTGGAGAAATAACTATTTCTCATCACCCAAAATTTGGAAGACCAAAGATTGTCCTTTTCATTCCTGTTCTCCATCTTTGACCTAAATTTCTCCAGTTACTTCTCCAACAAAATCCTCTCCCTAAGAATGGATCAAACAGGACAGTCTCTCTGTTTAACCACTGTGCATTCAGCGCTGCAGGTGTGTGAATCTTTCTAAACAACCCTTCTTCATTTCACTGCAAGGCAGAACTGCACACACAGCATCTCTGAACACCAGGCAGGGAGCAGAAGGGAAGGGACAAGATCAGGGAGTCTTCAGACCGGACACAGAAGCACTCCCTCAGCACCATCAAACAGTATATATGTAACAAAACAGGGTTAATACAGTTGTTTTACCGGATATCAAACGCCTTCACGTAGGGATTGATACTGGAAACTCGGATGGTGAGGAACTGCACAGGCACATTTGAGTCTGGGGTAAGTTCATGCTGTCTGGAGTCTGTCACCGTCAAATGAATGTCCTGCTGCTGGGCAACGTGTAAACAGTAGGTGGTCACTTTAATCACCCATGTGTCTGTAACAATCACCCTTGCTCCTGGGGCTCCTGTGGCAAATTTGTCGATTCTCCTGAATTCTGTATTGATGGAGGAAGCTACTGCCCTCCAACCTGACTGTGGGAGAGCATGGACAGCAAGTGTTCGGGCTAAAGGGTGATTATTCCAACCTTTCCGTGACCAGTAATATGCCAGGGCACTGGTGACTGCTGGAAGGAGAACTGCGAAGAAGAGGAAAGTTTTCCATTCTTTTGAAGCCAGGTAGAAAAAGCAAAGGTGTTTTTCAGGTGCAGCAAAGCACATTCCAAGGTAATAACCTGCAAGGGAAAAAAAACCAAACAACTTGCTTTCAGAAACCAGTCAAGTACAGGCATAAACACACACCCCTAAATCATATGGTATCTAACCAGTGAGCTCACCTCCAGGAGAGCTACTGTACTTCTGGATGACTTCAAATTCAAGTCCCTTGTCTTAATCAATCTTAGGAAAATGCTTATGCATCCCTGATTTTTACCAGAATTGCATAGCTAAATGAAGCTGATTTGAATTTGCAGATTGAATAACTTGTAAGATGCCAATTTTACCAGAATTATATAGGTAAAGGAAGGTGACTTGAATTTGTTGAATAAAAGTACCTGCGAGATAATACTTTTACCAGAATTATATAGCTAAAGGAAGGTGATTTGAATTTGTTGGTTGAATGAAATTACCTGCAAGATACCACTTTTACTAGAATGATATACCTGAACGAAGGTGATCTGAATTTGCTGAATAAAATTACCTGTGAGGTGCCACTTTTGCCGGAATGATTTACCTGAAGGTGATCCGAATTTGTTCAGTAAAATTACCTGTGAGATGCCACTTTTGTCAGAATTATATACCCAAAGGAAGGCAATTTGAATTTGCTGGTTGAATAAAATTACCTACAAGATGCCACTTTTACCAGAATGATACAACTGATGGAAGGTGATCCGAAAGTGTTGAATAAAATTACCTGCGAGATAGTGCTTTTAACAGAATGATATATCTAAAGGAAGGTGATCTGAATTTGAATAAAATAACCTGCGAGACGCCACTTTTGCCTGAACCATATACCTAAAGGAAGATGACTTGCATCTGTTAGTTGAATAAAACTACCTGTGAGACGCCAGAATGATACACCTTAAAGAAGATGCTCTGAATTTGCTGAACAGCATTACCTGCAAGGC